GATCCTATTCATTCCTACGATCAACAGCGAGCTTTGGGTGCTGCAGTCATCGAATTTAGGTTTCATCTTCACTGTAAGCTCCTTCAAAGTTCTTTCTTCTGCGCTGCAAACTCCTCTAAAGTTGAAGTCAAGTCTGTCTCCCCTTTAGTCTTTGCTGTTCCACTTGAGTTGCCTTCACTGGCATATTCGAGCGCTTAAGAATTCAGGTTTTTCTCAAAGGCATATTATCCACTGTCCATTCATTTTAATCTCATCATCGCTTTGCATCGTCCATCTGTCGCCTCATTTGCATGCCACACCACAAGGCTTTCCCATTTCGAGATTGATTCACAGAAAGGGGAAACCATCATAAGTCCTTTGTCATTCTAGCTGTTCTTTGACCACTTGAGCGTTTCTGGATTTTTTTCCCAAACTTCCCAAGGAGTGGAAGCTCAATGGTGAAAAAACTTTTCATAAACAACAGTTGTAGGTAGCTTAAGATGTGATCTGATCCGCGTAAGATTTTCCCACAGATTGTTACTCTGGGGAATACGTCTTTCAGGCTAAGAAGTTGAGAGGGTTTAGTACGGTATACCTCTACAGTAGCTCTGCTGTAATGCCCTTGAAAACATTGTCTCCATCGGCCATCTGGTTAGACGTGTCGTTCATTTAATGGACAAAGGGAACGTTAGCTGAGCGGCGGAGCGGCGCTAGCATGACGGAAGTGCATCGGCCGAAATGTCCGACCGCTCATTTAAGCAAATCAGGAAACGACGACAGCATTGAGCACAATGATTGAAGGCTTTTGAACGACATTGAAATCCGAGCTACCCTATTACATGGCCTTTTCATGACCGGAGTAGGGACCATATCTTTAATCCACACGTATCAAGAAAAACTTGAAGCAAGCATCATAGACAGGCAGACGCAGGGACTTCTCTGGGATGAGCCATGCATTTTATTTCCGTTAAAAATGTCTTAGATATTTCGATGATTTGGTTGAATACAATGAGGGAGGGTTAGAATGAGCCAGGACAGTTGAAAGAAAAATTATTGGGGAAGGGTGGACATATGACGAGGGATTGGGCTCATTGGAGAAGTAGTCAGGTTCCTGTCCAATTCATGCGTCTACCAAGAATGGACCGAATTACCGATTCGCCATTTTTGTTTACCGTTTATTCCATTTATTGAATTATTTTTATTTTTCCCATGTACTGATTTAATTATTTTGAACCAGGTAAGCATCCTTTTTAGAGTCTTCACTCGGCCTCCAACCCAACTTCCATTTCGAATACGGGTAGGTGACTGGGTTCGTAAATAGATCATGCCCGATTAATTACTCGCAGTAATCCGATCCACCCAAATGCGCCAATCACTGAACGCCCCCAAGGCCATATTGTGTTTCGTAATGGGTCTATAATGTTGGGAGCTCGCGTGAATGACCATCATTAGATGAAGGCTTACCCGGAAATGTCTAGGGACGTTCTTCTGGCACCATATGGTGTCAGTCAAATAGTGGGGATTACGCCTGTCAAGAGGGTAATGAGTCAGTAAACCTTCCGGAATGATTTTATGAAAAATTGTTTGAAATAGGACTGAAAAGGTTTTGAAATCAGTCGGAGAGGCCCTAGCGACTAGTCGCCTTACATTTTATGAAACCTATAGCCCTAAGGACCTGTTGGTCATCGGTTCTCAAATTAGCACAAGTAAGACCTCATTTGACGCTGATCCAGTGCTTTCTTCCTCCCCTCCCTTGAAGTATTCGTCGAGGCTTCAGTCTAGGTGGAAAATCTGACTGTTTACTGGGCCCATTCGACCTCTGAAGGGTCCGGCTCTCCGTGATGATGAGTCGGACCACCGTGAAATCGGCGACGACGGCATGTGCGGTCCCTCTGATAAGTGATTCTCCGGAAAGGCAATAGCTTCCCATTCTTCTGTCTATTTCGCTGTTCAAGCGCTTGACGTGATAGCATTTTGATGAGCACCCATACAGTAAATTCATGCTCCCAGACACTGGGAGCTGATTAATCAGTGAATAAGTTGTAATAATTCTTTTGCAAATAGTGTTTTTTGCGAATTCGGCTATTCAAAAAAAGGCAGATGCTTGCCTTGGATTTTTTGAGACTTTGGGGAAGGGCAAATACTTTTCTAGGGGTTTTGGCGAAAACTTATGGGGAAAGAGAGGAAAATCTCACTGGAGAGGTCATTTTCCGCGGCATCCTTTTCTCTGTGTGAACTAGATGACGGGCTTCCCTAAGGATGGGCATCCCTATTAGAGGGCGACCCTGGAAGATGACTTATCCCTGATTATCACCAAAGCCATGGAAAACTGTGTCGATTTGTGGATACGGTCGAATTGTAGCCTGATTTACAGGGTAAAGAATATCCTGTTGCGATCGAATTGTATTCTGGAATCACTCGGCTGTGCTAAGACGAACCGTAACGATAACTCAAGTCGATTCGGCAAATATATGCACATCAATTTCAATTTCAATGGAGATCCCGTCGGCGGAAATATTTCCAACTACTTATTGGAAAAGGTAGGTATTCAGTAGTTAGTAGCCCTGTTGACCCCAGAGGGACCCTCAATTTCAGTCTCGTGTTGTTCGACAACAACGTGGTGAACGAAACTTCCACGTATTCTACAACCTCCTACGAGGATTCGATGATGGCCACTTGAAAGAACTTGGACTAACCAAAGATCCGAAGAATTATTACTACCTGAATCAAGGAGAAAGTCTACAGGTGAGCTGCTTTGAGCGCACACGCGCGACTAATCGATAATGGTCTTTTACTGTGTTGTTTAGTAAAGGAAAGGAAAAAGAGAGCGGTCTTTTCATTTTCTTTTTTCATTTCATTCTCGAAAATTTGCTTCTCAGAATAGGGCTCCAAAATGATCTTGTTCTATTTTTGTCTATTTGTTACCATATCAGGAGGGCAAGGACAAGGTGTATGCGAAAACGATGGATGTCATCAGGGAGGAAGTGGGCGAACATGCTTTTCGCTTTTATTTCTTTTTACCTCAATGCCCTATTGCTTCAACTATCCTAACTAGTCAGTAGCAGCTGTAGTTCCATGTATACCATCAACCCCATGATTACCAAACTACCAGAGGAGCAGATTAGATGAAAACCTCACTTCAGATGCTCAGCTTTGGTGTGGAACCTAACTTTCTTTTCTTTTCTAACTAATTAAACTAATAAATAAAACAGCTATTTCGTTAAGGAGGAGTGGCTCCGATTCCTAACTGATGGAGTCCTATCAGAAACTTCATTATAGGTATCTTCGATAAATGATGCACAGGATTTCAAGGAAGTTCAACGCTCATTCAAGGCTATCAGTAGCTTCAAGGATGCTGAAATTGATGAGGTAAGAATTCGTGAATTCCCAAATCCGAATGATGTACTTGGGTCCCTCAAACTAGATCTATACTCTGCGGTGACGCGCGAATTTTCCGCGCGGCCTATTCGCGCGAATAGTGTCACGCGGGATTCGTTTCTTTCAGCCGTGTTAAGTTGTCAATCTTTTCGTAGATAGAGGTAACTTCGTTCGGCATAACACCGATGTTAAACGGATTCTCATCCTCTCAAACTTACCGAGATCCGATCTCCTGCCCAATAGTGTAGAAGCGCGCCACTCGATTTTGCGCCATCTCCGCTTCTAGAAACAGTTTCGTGTTTGGGGTCTGTATTAGCATAAAAATAGGTCAATCAATTTCAAATTTTCAGCTGTGGTCAGTGATTGCCGGTATACTGCACCTTGGCAACCTGACATTTGCCGATTCGGACAATTCAACTGGTCATTGCCATGTCGTCGATCAGGAGACACTGCGACGTGCTGCGAAATGTCTCTCTGTCACTACGGATCAACTTCAAAATGCGCTCACATCTCAGGTAACCAGATCATCTGAACCGGAGAACAATGCGAGAAGTCGTAGGTATTCGAAAAACTGGTTTACTGCATACAATACTTCACGTTTAGGTGGTAGCGGCTCGTGGAGACGTCGTTGCAAAAGCGCATGATGTGAATGCGGCACTGTATACTAGAGACGCATTGGCAAAGGTGAGTGGTAGCCAATGACTTTCACGAAGGGCGATTTCTGTCTGACATGAACAGGAAATCCTGAACTCATCGTTATCGATAAGATCATTACATTGCGACGACCGCCCCTTTAAAACTTTCTGAGTTTTTTGGCTGCGATGAACGGTAGTGTCACAGGAAGTTGCCTCGTCACTAAAGTTCTGAAAATGACTTCCACACCTACCCAGCTTGCACACAGAAAGAACTAATACTTAGTGGGTGGGTAAAAAGGTAAAGAGCAGCTCAGATCTCAGCACAGGAATCTCT